CTCGTGCTGCATGTGTGTTGTATGCGCAGCGGTGAAATCAGTGCCCGTTTCTGCGCAGTCCACAAAGACGCACGCAGCAACAGACACACACGCACAGCTGCAACAACAACAAAACAAACAAAAAAAAACAGCTGGAAAAAAAAAAGCCACTCTATGGGGCTGTGTGCAACTACTCACAGGCGCTACACGGCGGGGGCATCAGCATCCGGTAACACTATGCACGTCGGGGGCGCGGAGCCGGCCCACGCACGCCGCGTGGCTGTAAGCGCGTGAGACGGGCAGAACACACAGGCGATGAAAGCAAAGATGAGAGGGGCAAAGTGGGTGGGCGAGTGTCCGCATCCGCACTCCCACACACACACACACACACACACTCCACCCCTACTCTGTCTAGGGAGAGGGAAGAGGACCACGGGCACGGTTACGCGCGCTCGCCACGGAGGCAGAGGGCCAGGTGGATGTCCTTGGGCTGGATCGTCACGCGGCCACTGTGGATGCACGCACGGTTGGTGTCGGCGAGCAGTGACACAACGTAGGACTCCGTCGCCTCCTGTGCTGCAAGGATCGCGCTGCTCTGGAAGCGGAGGCCCTCCTTCTGCGCGCCCGACACCTCACGCACCAGGCGCTGGAAGGGCGCCTTCTGCAGGAGGAGGTCTGTGGAGCGCTGGAACTGGCGAATCTCGCGCAGCGCCACGGTGCCCGGGCGCCAGCGCCGTTGTGCGTGTTTCACGCCTGTCGCCGCACCAGGGGCCTTTGGCGCCTTCTTGCTCTTCTTGGACGTGATGGTGCGCTTGCTCCGTGCAGTTTCCTTGGATCGGCTCATTATCTTCCTTTTTTTTCTTTTTTCGGGGTTGCTTCAACGCAGGTTGCTTTACTCTGCACCGCAAAACACACGAAAAAAGCACAGAAAAAGAAGGTGAACTAAGGCCGTGCAAGAGCGCCGCAGCAAAGAGAGACACGTATCGGGGTGCAGCCACCACAGAGGTGCAGGCGCAGCCTCGTGCTGCATGTGTGTTGTATGCGCAGCGGTGAAATCAGTGCCCGTTTCTGCGCAGTCCACAAAGACGCACGCAGCAACAGACACACACGCACAGCTGCAACAACAACAAAACAAACAAAAAAAAACAGCTAGGAAAAAAAAAAGCCACTCTATGGGGCTGTGTGCAACTACTCACAGGCGCTACACGGCGGGGGCATCAGCATCCGGTAACACTATGCACGTCGGGGGCGCGGAGCCGGCCCACGCACGCCGCGTGGCTGTAAGCGCGTGAGACGGGCAGAACACACAGGCGATGAAAGCAAAGATGAGAGGGGCAAAGTGGGTGGGCGAGTGTCCGCATCCGCACTCCCACACACACACACACACACACACACACTACCACCCTACTCTGTCGTAGGGAGAGGGAAGACGGACCGACGGGCACGGTACGCGCGCTCG